TTCCGTTCATTGCAGTTTCTCATGACCGCATAATAACGACACGAGTTAACAACGATAGACCTTCAGCGACAATTCCGCAAAAGTCAAGCTCATGCATAACTTGAATCTTGAATTAACTCGAGCTTTGTAACTCTTAGTTCAAAACAAGAATTTGCTAAATCATGCATGTCAGTATTTAATTTTGATTTTTGAAGTAATGTTCAACTGGTATCTCTCGATCTCAATCTTTCAAAAAGTAAGAGGCATATGCATCAAGCAAGCATCAATTCAAAGAACTTACTGAAATCTGTATTCATTTGCTCTTGCATTTAAACGCGATCTCAACCGAATGGTTGCAGTAGTCGATTGAGTGGTTCAGTAAAATCCCACGAACCATAACATGCCTAACATTGACAAAGCTTCAGTGTGCGTAAATAACCCGTAATCACGTGCAATAGAACAGTGCCTAAGAATGGAAAATATTTGAACGCAAGGAAACGGGTGCACTAATCTGCCTACTGCGGTTATGCTTTGCGAGTCAAAGACAAAACACTAGGCGATAAAGTAACAAATTTATTGAGCATTATAATATGTACATTCAAAAGTAAAAATAACAAGTTCAGTCAATATAACTAACAAGTAAGATCATGATTATGATGCCTCACATTTATCAAGATCAGTACAGTTATATCACCAAGTTTCACTTTCCTAAGTTCGATCTCTAAGTTCGTAGCCCAAAAATCGCTCAGTGACCATAAACACACTTAATGTAACTCTAACCCTGATAATTGCAACTTTTATTACGGATTCTCCGCGCCACTTTTAATGCTGGACGAAACTGTAAACAAATTCAGTAATAATGTTTCTACACACAAACTTACAAACACATCTCTAGCAGAAAAAAAAGACGTATGCTTTTTCATCCCATCCCCGTGTCTATACTCACTCAATATAATGAGGGTTTCAATGAGTTAACCGTTGACCGTAAAATGGCCAAAAAAAACCGTAAGGCTTAAAAATTGACAAGTTTTAACCATTGGTCGTAACAAAATTTAACAGTAAAAAAAAAATGTTTCTGGTGACAGCAATGGAAAGATGTTAACCTTTAGCCTTAAATTGGCCATAATTTTAACCGTAAAAGCCGTCACCCATTGATACCCTCCATAATAATGTCTAGCTCCAAATTAATGACTACGAAATACGAAAGACAACAAAAAAACAATTTTCAGTTTTATTTATGCATATAGAAAACTCTATCATTAGTAAAGAGGTGAAACAGCGTGAGTCTTTATTAACGTGCGGGTACCTAAATTATCTGACGTGAATAATCGAGAAAAAAATCAGTACATTGAATCCAGGTTCCTAACTTTCCTGATTTTAAAAATCCAAAAAAACAAAATGGGTGCTTCGTAGTCCTTCTCAGTCTAAACCACGCATTAAATGTTCTTGCGAGGTGACTGCCTTGGTCCAAGAAAGGCGTAAACAAAACATTTTTTCAGCATTTCATGCTGTGATAAATATTTTTTAACACAAACCATTCAGACACTTAAATTTTGACTAAGTAATAACTTCATTTTGACCATTAATCTAGCTCCGAGCTTCTTTCAATTTAAGTCTTCTTTTTTTACAGGCAAATAACACAGGACTGCCTCGTTAAGTTTTCCTATTCATCAAGATTAACCTGGTGCGTGTCCTCTGGCTGAATTCTTATCCCACTGTCGACTGGAAATTTGTTGATGATAAAATATACCTTCCCTTCTATTTCCACTGCACCGAGATTGTTGGCGGGTATGTGTTTCTGTTCTACAACAGACCAGTTGTCTAGTAGTTCTTTTACTTTCCCTCTCCCAAGCCAAGATAGAGGTCCCCTTTTCTCCTTAAAAACTTCTACCGGTGCATTTTCATCGTTCAGCTCACCGAATAGATTGCACACCTTTTTCCCTCCCGCCACATACAGTCTGTTATTGACAACAATAAGACTGGATCCAAAGTGAGGGTAACAGGTTGAGGCGACTTTTTCCCATTTATCTTTTGTTGGGTCAAAACAATGCACTAAGGCAGGTTTTGGTACATATCTGAATTGGTGAAATATAAGGAGCCCATGCATAACATATAACTTAGAGTTCATTACTGCTGCTGGCCTGCTGCTACAGATTTTAACCCTTTTTGTGCAAATAAATGCAAATTGTCCCTACCCTGCTGCCAGATTTTGTCAGCGAAACTGTAAATCTCGGGTGGAATAGATTCACTAACTGCATAAACATAGTCACCAACACAACACAAACATTGGAATATCTTGGGGAAACTCGACTTTGTAAGTTTTTCCCAAGACTTGTTCACTATGTGATAACGATAAATATCTGATTTATCAGCATCTGATGAGGCTAAATACAAACAATTTCCGATATATTTCACACTAGACCACTTTTTAACTATTTCACCTACATTTGGCACAGATTTTAAAAGTTTCCATTCTTTACTTTCCTCGTCAAAGTAGTGAGACATCGCTTCTCGAACAGTTCTGTTATGGTTCGACTTCTCCCTTGGGCAAAATGCAACAAGAACCTACAGAATAATGATAAATCATCATGATTTATCGCCTCGGGGAGAGGGTGGGGGGGGGGGGATTCGGAGGATTAATTGTGTTCTTTAGTTCCCCCTCATAAAATGCGAAAATTTTTTGGGTACACCAGGTGGAACAAAAAACACTCATTTTATATGTTACAGAGGGAAGGGGGTTATTTTCCGTACACTTTACTCCTATAGGACTGAAGCATTTCGTTTGTAATGGTGGAGTTTTCGTAACATATCGAAATATGAATACCTTTTAGCGGAGGGCACTGATAAAACCTGTGACATCCTTTGTAGTTTAGTTACTTTGCTGACAGCCGAAAATTGGATACAAGAAAAGATGGCCAGAAATAAAGTAGCCGAGCACACTCAATATTCAATAATCATACTCAACGTCTGTAACACAGACCCACCAGGTGTCCGTCCGGTGTGATTAGAAAGCTCTAGAAATCCAAAGTCGTCAGCATGCGGTCTTTGTACTCTCGTGAATGTCACTTAAAAAGATTTGTAATTCACGAGAGTACTGCCAATTCGATAAAAGGTAGATAAAAATTCGTAGGATTTGTTTTAAATCGTACTACATTAATTTTAGCTTCATTACTCATACTCAGACGAATCATGTTCAAACAGCAAATACAAGCTGCCTTACGGGTTCCGTATGAATAGCACATCGTAAAATCATACTTGAATTATGCGAAAGGAAACTATAACACTGGCTGACAATAGAGAGCACAAAACAAACTGACTTTCGCTGTCTAAGCTCCTGAGTTAAAAGAGTCTTCCTTTGTGTGGGATATTTACCATCTTACCGTTTTCATCGATCGCGGTTTAACTTCCTCTGCAGAAAATTTGTGAGGCATGCAGTGACGCTTCATTGCTATTTGTAAATGTTTGTTGATCTCAGGATCTCGCTGCATTTCTTCTTTTTCTAGTTCTTCAATTACGGCCTTGACGTCCACCAGACTCAGTCGAACGGCTCCGATGACTTTAGATGCGGCTTCCATCCTCTCCTCCTTCTTGTGTTTAATCCACTGCATCACAGATTTGAAGACGAATGTCTCCGAAGGCGCATTGAGGTCATCTCGACCGAGAAGGCTGAGTAGTTGGTCTGCGTCGATATTCGACAGGAACTCTTCACTTTCACCAACATCTGTATACATGGATGCCATCTTGTGATCTGCGGCCTCCTTAACTTCTCTAAGGCTGTGTTTATCGGTAATTGTCCAAACGCGACGATACAATTGTATATCGAATCGAGCTGACTGAATAATTTCAGTCAACAAGAAATCACAACATTGTTGAAGGACATTTCTCACTTGAAGATAGTCTGCGGCAGCAAGAACTTCAAACACGTTTTCCTCATTGATCTGAAGATCTCCGCTGTAGATGCAGTCCATAACGACCTTGAAGACGTGTGGTGAAAGGCTTTCATCTTTCAGCTCAATCACTTCCTGGTTCGATTCCTTCATTCCATCTGCAAACATGGCGTAGAAGTAATCGCTGTACGAAGCGAGCACATTGCGATGAGCGGGAAAAGTTTCTTTACCGACTTTTAAACGAACGTCGACAAATTGCCCTTCGTCTCGAAACTGAGCACATTTTTTCAAGAGAATTCCAGAATGGGTATCCATCTTTCACTTTTACAACTTCGTCCATGCGTTCTCGGTCAGTTTTCCACATGGTGTGAGTCAAGGCAAACCACAATCTCGAGCCCCGGGTCATTTTGGCATCTTGTCAGCGGTATGAGATAACCTTTGTTGTACGTGCATCATTTGTCAGAGAATATCGTAAAATACCTAACGATGGTGTAGTTGCTTCTTTTTTATTTTTTTTCTTTGTAAAATAAAAAGAATGTAATAAGTAAAGATACAAAACACATATTACAGTAAATGGTTTGAACCCGGGAGTAACATTTGATCGTTCAGCCTGATCGTCTTGGTAGTAGACACAGTCTTAGAGGAAGATATCATCAGAGTTGAGAGTGAAGGGTCAAATGAAGATTTGCCGACTCGGCAGAGTGTTACGCAGCAAAGAACAAAGACGAAATATAACAGGTAACACCCAAGTAAGGAATACCTCTTCCCGTTCCTTGGATTAGACTTTAATACTCAGTACACGCCTTAACAAAACGGACTTCAACGGTCTACCGAAACTGGACAAATTTGATTTTCCAATGCGAACTACAGTCTTGCTCTGTGGGTCCCCTGCATAGGCTACGTTCCTCTGAGGACTTTATCGACGTCATGAAGACTGACTGTACAGATACCCGACGGCTACAAACTATTGTCTTTTTTGTAAAATGTTCCCTAGTACTCCACTTAATTTGCATCACAGTGTACGTGTTTCAGAGGGTAATTTATTGTTAGCAACTGAGTTGATAGCGTACATTGGCTACCTTTTGGCAAGCAAGAATTCGAAGGAACTCAATGATTAACGGGATGGAAATCTGGAACCTGAGACCACTAGATTATGATCAGATTCATGACCTCAGCAACTCGGTCACAAACATAAGTAGCCAACTTTACAAGAAATTGAATGAAATTTATTTACAAGTAAAGTTATACGTGCATATTAAATCTTGAATGATATATTACAAGTTAGATCACAACCTATCACGGGCATATGCACGGTTATCAAAATAAGTGCTGACATTGATCCTGTTACGTAGACATAAACACAAACCTCTTGCAAACATATCTCTTGAACAATCATTATAAAGACTTTTATACAGTAAAATATCACGCACCCTGTTAATGGTCATCTATGATTTATCGGAATACAGACACAGCTGACGTCACACAAACATTTTTTGTTTGTATTGTCCCGTATGATGCACGGTTTAAAAACTAGTAGTTTCCGAGATAATTTCTGGTTAAGTTAAAGAGGGCTTCACCGGAAAATTCATCAACCAGGAGCTGCTTACAAACAAGAAAAATATCAATCAGAAACATATCTACAGGTTAGTTGTATGAACTAGATATATTTCATTTTTCCGCGTGTCTGACCAGAAGATGTCAAAATGTGATAACCGAAGTGATACACTCGATAACGGCTCCTTTGCTACGTTATTACCATATGTGACGTCATCTGTTATCTATAACGGAATGAACAGACTCACGGCAAAATTGAATTAGCACTAAGCTAAGTCCTATAAAGCTGTGCCTTAGCATTTTTAAAGCTACTCCGAACCGATGTTGGTGCCAATGAAAATAACCCATGGCTAAATATCTATGTAACCTAGCTGAAAATATTTCGACTAATTCACTCAGACATTTGCTATACAGCTGCAAACACAGCTATAGTTCTAGACACCTTGCCTGTATGTACTCCGCCTTTAAGTGAACTAAAAATTATTGACAAGGAAAATGCTACAAAAAAAAATGCCAAAAATTGATCGTAAAAAGTACAATTTAAGGGTGCAGAGAGGCCCTTTTGGCAGGAAACTGTAAGAAAACAGATAGCATCCGTCTCAACACGCTGCTCACTAAAATAGAACGTTTAACTTGATAGAGAAAATTTAATTTACCCGGCCTATCTTACGGTGACTGTATCAAATTTTTTAAATTTCCTTGTTTTTAAACAAAGAGCAAAAGGCGAAGGTCAAAAACAGTGGCTAAAACGGCCAAGAGAGAAGGAAGGATAATCGGTTATTTTAGTTCATTCTTCTTTTCCCACCGGCTGTGTTTCAAAAATGGGCTTAAAAACAAATACTGTATTTCGCAGAATCACTTATTTTCTTGATGTTAAGTTACCAATCAGTTTCTCTGATATGTCTCATGTACCTAAGAGAAGCTCAGATTCAGTAGCAGTGTCATTCATGATCCCTGCTAGGTTCATTTCAAGTTTTCGCTCTTGACAGGCAAATAACACAAAACTGCTCCTCTTTTGACGTTAGCTAGATCTCCCCAATCACTTAAGTCAACTTGATACATTTCCTCTGGTGGAATTCTAATCCCACTGTCGACTGGAAATTTGTTGATGATGAAATACACCCTCCCCTCTATTTCAGCTGTACCCAAGTCGTTTGGGGGAATATGTTTCTGATACACTATAGAACAAGTGTTAGTACCTTCATCATACACTTCCACAGGTGCACGGTGACAATAGTCACCAATATCTCCCCCCGCCACACACAGTTTGTTATTGACAACAAAAAGACTGGATTTAAAATGAGGATGGCGGGTTGAGGCGAGTTTTGTCCAAACATTGTATTTTGGGCCAAAACAATGAACCACAGCTGGTTTATTGACCCAACCGAGGTGTCTTTCACATTCTCGATAACTACGAATTACATATATTTTAGAGTTCATTACTGTCGCTGCTACTGAACTTAACTTCTCCATGTTTTCTACTACTTTTAAAGCTTCTCCGCCTTGCCAACTGTTATTTGTCAAACTGTACCTTTGAGGAGAATTTGACTTAGTAATGGCGTAAAGATAGTCACCAACAGAACACAAGCATTTAACTTTGTGGTTGTCTCCGTATTTTGGTAATTCAACCCATTAATTATTTACCACATCATATTGATGTATGAAATTACCCTTGCCCTGTTGAAGGCCTAAATGTAATAAAGTCTTAAATGTAAAAACATTTGGTCCTAAATGTAATAAAGTCCTAAATGTAATAACATTTAGTCCTAAATGTAATAAGCCTCCAATGCAATCGTTTAACTCCTTCGGTGCATTGTTGTTATGGCGGACATCCACATTGAGATGTTGAAGTGACAACTGTTGCAACAAAAAACTGCTGACCAGTATACATGTCACATTACGGGCTCGCTGATATCAATCAACGTTTTTTTACTTGCTAGACATAAGAAATATCAGCAGTCGAAGTATGGTCCTTAAAGCGGTTTATTGATCGAGTTGAAAATCATTTCCAGCTCAAAGTGGGCTAGTGCTTGGCTGGAAGTTCAACAGGATGGAATCGATTGCTACGTAATCATTAAGAAAAAGAAAAAGAAATTGACTACAATTGATGATGAACTAGCCTGCTATTGTTGATGTTATCGTTCGTGTTAAAGTCTTTAGTAGTGATGCACCATTTTAAAGCAGTTTGAATGATTTCGCTATGTCACATGTTAATCCAAAAGAAAATTATTAATATCAGAAGTGTTCCTGAAATTTTGCACATCAATGATATTCAGTGTCAATTGATTTTAATGAAGCATTTGAGTTCATTTTTTAGGATGACTATCCTGATTTATTCAATTTTGCACCGGGGATATTGCATTTCTAGCCCCTTATGGATTTACTCCACCTCAGTAATCAGTTCATGTACCATATGACTATAAGTGGAAACTGTTGAGCTTTCTTTTTTCATTCATTTATTTATCTATTCCTTTTCTCCCCTCACGGCGGGGAGAAGAGATGAAGAAAAAAAATGAAATATAAACTGGAGATCAACTTTAAAATAAAAGTTTTCCCAATATTTCGGTTCGGGAACTGATCAACCTGTCATAAGAGGCTAAAGGAAAAAAATTAATGGTTCATTAGACAATCAACTGACCATCGTGTTGAATGTTGTAGCTCAATGGTTCAATTGACTCTTGCGTGGAAAAAAGGCAACATTTCGGGACCTGTGATCGTGAAATGGGATAACCTATGATTGGTCAGTAGATATCTTGCTCTGTAAGACACTTTATCATATAGCTAGCAGCGCACGCGGGCAAGATGAAGTGAATCCTGTGTTCTGATTGGCTACCTGAGCGGGCATGATGGGCCCACCTTCGTCCGCTCGGGATTCCCCGTATTGATCCCACGCAAGAAAACTTACAAAGTTCGTAACTTTTGGACAATGTTGGCATATACATAGAAAAAAAAATAAACGAGCCTCTTGGGTTTATTGTGCTGCAAACACAGTTGGCTTTCACTATCGGCTCTCGAAATAAACAGGCCATTCTTGATTCTTATCAAAGCGAAATCTTTTGCTATACAATGAATCCTTTAATGATTAAGCCAAGAGAATATAAACTCTCTTGAACAAGCTTGTATGGTCAAGATTAGGCCTATCCCGATTGTGCTCGGCAACTTTTGAGCAACTTTTGGCGTTTGGAGCAACTTTTTGCGGTTTTAGCAACCTCGAGCAACTTTTGCCTTTCAGAGCAATTTTTGAGCAAAATATTGGTTTAGAGCACATATCAAGCACGAAAAAGTCAACGATTTCGTGGAAAACGAAAGACGTTGAGTATGATTATTGAATATTGAGTGTGCTTGGCTACTTTATTTCTGGCCATCTTTTCTTGTATCCAATTTTCGGCTGTCAGCAAAGTAACTAAACTACAAAGGATGTCACAGGTTTTATCAGTGCCCTCCGCTAAAAGGTATTCATATTTCGATATGTTACGAAAACTCCACCATTACAAACGAAATGCTTCAGTCCTATAGGAGTAAAGTGTGCGGAAAATAGCCCCTTCCCTCTGTAACATATAAAATGAGTGTTTTTTGTTCCACCTGGTGTACCCAAAAAATTTTCGCATTTTATGAGGGGGAACTAAAGAACACAATTAATCCTCCGAACCCCCCCTCCCCCCCCCACCCTCTCCCCAAGGCGATAAATCATGATGATTTATCATTATTCTGTAGGTTCTTGTTGCATTTTGCCCAAGGGAGAAGTCGAACCATAACAGAACT